GGCCGGGAGCTGCTGCCCGGGATCCCACCTCCCACAGCTGCTGGGAGAGGATTGCGTAGCCTCACACCCACTCCAGGGCACAGCAGGCCTCGTGTTAAGGGGCTAAAGGGTGCCGAGTTTTCCAGTGTGGTGGTGCTCCGTGCCCAGGTGGGACTTGGGGGAAGCCAGGGCCCCCGCTTTGCTGTCTGAGCACCCAGAGCCAGGCTGCCTGGGATCAGCCCTGCGGTGGGCGCAGGCAAGGCTCGCGGCCCCAGAAGCCTGGGTTCTCCAGCCGGGGTCGGGCTGCTGCGGGAGGCTGCCGGGGCCCCCAGAGCCCTGGGTTCTCCAGCGGGGTCGGGCTGCTGCGGGAGGCTGCCGTGGGCCCCCAGAGCCCTGGGTTCTCCAGCCGGGATCGGGTGCTGCGGGAAGCTGCAGGGTCCATGAGGCAGGCTCTGCTGCTGGCTTTTCTGAAGCTGTAGAACAGCTCGTGGACCATGGGGCCTGGACGCCTGGCTGCAGGACCCGTGGATGGGCGGGTCAGCAGTGTCCAGCTACAGGCCTAGGGCCAAACCCACTCCTGTCGGGAAAGCACCATGTGCGCGGTGGCTGCTGGAACTGTGATGAAGAACTAGGGTTCGGGCCCAGCCCGCCGTTGGCTGGCTGCCTGCAGCTGGGGAGTTCGCCTGCCTCAGTCTTTTCATCTGCACAATGGGCTGATAGGAATCAGCCTGGGAGGACCCAGGGTCCCCGAGATGAAGGTGGAAGGAAGCACCCGAGGTCACAGAGTTGGGGGAGGGGCAGTGCTGGGCGCAGAGGTGGGGGCTCCAGGAGGTGCCGCTGCCCCAGGCCTGCGGTCCTCCCTGACTCCCCCGTGGCTTCCGCTTCTCAGTACCTCTGCTGTGTTTACAACCACAGAAGCACAGCTCTGTGAGAAAGCAGTCCCTTTACGTCACAGAGTGAGGCGAGAGCCCTCTTCCATGGTTCCTGCAGGTGCCGGGCCTGCCTGTCGCTACCCAGGGCCACGCACTGACCACGCCGTGCCCGTCCCCCTCTGGCTGCAGGGAGGAGGTGCAGGAGAACTGTGTCCGGTGGCGGAAGAGGTTCACCTTCGTGTGTAAGATGAGCGCCAACCGGCCACAGGCCTGCTGGATCCCTGCGTCTGCCGCGTGTCCGTGCGCAAGGTGACGGGGGGGTGTGGGTCCTCCCAGTAGGATGGAGGAAGGCGCTCTGCCCCACTCCGTCTTAGACTGTTGAAGTGCAGAGGACAGAGACGGCTTCCATCCCTGGTTCATCCCAGATGCCCAGAACGGGGCCCGGGGCTCCACCTGGGGGCAGGGCCCCGTGTTCCCAGCTGCGTCAGCGGGGCGCTCAGTTGGGAGCAGAGCAGCGGACTCGAGCTGGTGCCCGCGTGGACGCCGGCTGTGCCGCGGGCCGGCTCCTCTGCCCCTGTCTTGTCCCACCAGCACTCGTATCTGGGAGGACCGGGGACACCTGAGGTCTCTGGATTCCCTGGTCACCTTGTCGCTTGTGTCTCCCCCCGTGCAGGAGCTGAAAGGCGGGAAGGCTTACTCCAAGGTAAGAGGGGCCCTGAGGGGCGGCCAGGTCAGGCAGGGCAGTAGTTCTAGAGTGTGTGGCTTCTCTGCCCCGCAGGACACAGCCCTGCCTGAGCTGTATCCCTCTCTGGAAGTCTCACAAGGCAGCGTGTGCTTGTCGCCACACAGGCGGGGTCCCCAGGCGCTGCGTTCGCGCCCTCCTCCGCCAGGCCCGTGGGACCCTCCATCGGCATCGCTTAGGGATTTCCCGTCGTACACGGAGTGGTGCTTTCGAGCGCGTAGGAGGCGCGCCTGTGGTTGCCCTCGGTGCACGGGCGGGTGGTGACTTCGTAAGATGCGCAGATGCGCGATTCCTGCAGCGGGCTTTTCCCACCTGTACGTGACGGGGCCTCTCGTGCAGGCAGATTGCCGTGTGCACTGCTGAGGGCAGCCACGGCCCCCCCTGCGTGGCTGGTGACAGCGCCGGCTCAGCCAGGCCCACCGTGGGTTTGCACACACACACACAGACGGCTCAGCCCCACACTGTCAACCTCTTCCCCGGGTGGGCTGTGAGGACGCCCGCCCTGCGGAGGACAGGAAGTGCCTCAGTCTCACCTCCTGCTCCGCTGCTCTGCGGGGACGCCTGGGGCGGTGCTGCCCAGGGTGGCACCCTCCTATGTGACCCCAGTGGCCCAGCTCAGGCGCCGGGCTGGGCTACGCCTCTGCCCCAGGCCATAGAGCTGTCACAGTGGAGAGCGCCCTTCCTGGTGGCTGATGGTGGGAAGGCGGCCGAGAGAAGCTGCCAGCAAACAGCCAGGGCCTCCCCGGCTGGCACTGACTAGCACTAGCACATTCAGACCCCGCTGCCCCCCACCCCCGCCACTCTGTTCTGCACGAGCCCCCGGCACAGGCCTGCTGGCCCTGGACCCTGAGCAGGAATCGAGGCCCCGGGAGGTGGCAGGCGTGGCCCGTGTCAGTTCTGGTTCTGCCAGTTAAGTCGGGTCACTTGCCCTGCCTCACCGTGAAGGGGAGGTCCTCTGTGAGACAGGGGGGGCTGGGGTCCGAATCTACTCCCAGGCACCAGGAAGCATCCCGCAGGGCCAAGCCTGGCACTCCCCACCTCTGCTGTTTCCCCTGTGAGTCTGACCAGCTTGGCTGCGTCCTGGGTTTCCTCCCTGTCCTGGCCTCTCTGGACGCAGTGTCAGCAGCAGCCTGAGTCCCCGACGGCCTGTCCAGATGTCGGCTCCGCCCACCAGATCCTCACTCCCACCTCCTCCAAGGGATGACCTGGGTGCCCGCCTGCCCGGCCAAGTGTCCCTTCCCCTCTACTCCCGGAGCCCCTCCGTGGGGCGTCCCCTCGCCCCTGCCCGCCATCAGGTTCCACAGGCCTTCCCTCCTCCCCGCCTGCTCCACAGCACGGCCTTGTTTCCTGGGGAACAATGCGTCTGTGTCACAGACAACAATGTCTTTTCATGTCAGGCGTGCTGGCCCGGTGCAACTGGGACGCGGCACAAAGGCTGCTTTGTGCGGCTCAGGGATGTGAGCTCCTGGCTTTGCCACGTTGCGACCCGGGCTCTGTCCTTGGGTCCTGGTTATGCAACAGTCAGTCTCAGTCAGGGCTGTGGGCGGGCCAGGAGCTTTGCCGAGTTAACCCTCTGGGGCACCTGCCAGCCCTGCACCCACGCTGTCCTCCCCTCCCCCAGCTGGGCTTCGCAGACTTGAACCTGGCCGAGTTTGCAGGCTCGGGCTCCACGGTGCGCTGCTGCCTCCTGGAGGGCTACGACACCAAGAACACGCGCCCAGGACAACTCCATCCTCAAGGTACCGGGACCTGCTGACCCGGCTGCTGGGGCTGACAGACGGGCTCTCACCATGCACAGGCAGTGAGAGACACTGCAGGTGTGGCCGGGCGCCTGCCTCAGTTTCCCCACCCGTGGTCGGGGTGGACGCCATCATACCGTACGGGTTTGGCGTGCATTCCTGCGGGATCACAGAGTGCTGAAGACTTGTCTCACCTCGTGACCCCCAGCCTGAGGGGTGTGGTGTCTTAGTAGCCCCATGAGACACCTGGATCAGGTCATGGCCTTGGGTCACGAGCAGAGCTGGCACTTACCTCCAAGCCGTTTGACTCGGTGGCCTGGCCTCACGTGACACAGGCCGCCTGGCCCCTGGCAGCAGCAGCAAGTGGAGGAACCTGCCCTCCCAGACCTGGGTGTGCATGGGCGGCTGCCGCCCTGCTGCCACGTGCAGGTTTCCGGTGGCGGAGGCAGCCCCCGTGCCCCAGGCAGCGGCCTCTGGCCTCTTGGCAGCAGAGGTGTCTGGGGGCTACAGCCAGAACACCTCACTTCCTCTGTCTGTGTGCCCTTCCCTGGGGGAAAACAGGCTATGGAGACAAGACCTCTAAGCAGAAGCAGTGCAGGGCCGCAGGGCCACGGGCCCAGGGCCTCTGTGACCCTCTGCAGAGAGAACTGGAGGCACCAGAAAAGCCCAGGCCGGTGGCACTGAGCCGCAGCACCTGTCCGCCTCCCGCGCTGGGCCCACGCACCCTTAGCCAGGCCAGACCCCGGGGCCTGTGGGTCAGGGGTTTCGGAGGCGAGGCCGGCTGCCCTGTGTCCTGCCGCAGGGTCCTGAGCAGTTGCTTCCGCTTCCTTGTTCTCCACGTGGGGCCGGCATGCTCTGCGGCGGCTGTCCAGGCCAAGAAGCGATGCATAGAAAGCCTCCTACCCCCCCCCCCCCCCCGGCTGCTCCGTTTCCGGTGCAGCTCCCCGGATGGCCTGGGAAGGCAGCAGAAGATGGCCCAAGTGCCTAGGCCCCTGCACCAGTAGGGAGACCCCAGATGGTGTTTCAGGCTCCTGGCTTTGGCCTGGCCCTGGCCCAGCTATTGTGGCTGAACCAGAAGATGGGAGATCTCTATCTATTTATCCCTCTTTCCTTCTTTTTTTTTTTTTTTTTTTGACAGGCAGAGTGGACGGTGAGAGAGAGAGAGACAGAGAGAAAGGTCTTCCTTTGCTGTTGGTTCACCCTCCAATGGCCGCCACGGCCGGCGCGTTGTGGCCGGCGCACCGCGCTGATCCGATGGCAGGAGCCAGGTACTTATCCTGGTCTCCCATGGGGTGCAGGGCCCAAGCACTTGGGCCATCCTCCACTGCACTCCCGGGCCACAGCAGAGAGCTGGCCTGGAAGAGGGGCAACCGGGACAGAATCCGGCGCCCCGACCGGGACTAGAACCCGGTGTGCCGGCGCCGCAAGGCGGAGGATTAGCCTAGTGAGCCGCGGCGCCGGCCCCCTCTTTCCTTCTGTAACTCTGTCTTTCAAATAAACCTTAAAACAAAAGGCAAGGGGCTGGCGCTGTGGCACAGTGGGTTGAAGCCCTGGCCTGAAGTGCCGGCATCCCGTATGGGCACCGGTTCCAGTCCCAGCTGCTCCACTTCCGATCCAGCTCTCTGCTATGGCCTGGGAAAGCAGTAGAAGATGGCCCAAGTCCTTGGGCCCCTGCACCCCCCTAACTTCTTTTATTGAGATTTATTTGAAAGTCAGTTACACAGAGAAGGAGAGGCAGACAGAGGTCTTCCTCTGGTTCACTCCCCAGGTGGCCACAACAGCCGGAGCTGCGCCGATCTGAAGCCAGGAGCCAGGAGCTTCCTCCTGGTCTCCCATGCGAGTGCAGGGGCTCAAGCACTTGGGCCATCCTCCACTGCTTTCCCAGGCCACAGCAGAGAGCTGGATCGAAAGTGGAGCAGCCGGGACTCGAACTGGCACCCATATGGGATGCTGGCACTGCAGGTGGCAGCTTTACCCACTACGCCACAGTGCTGCCCACCCCCCTCTTTTCTTTTTAATGACATATTATTTGAGAGAGATATTCTTCCCCTGGTTCACTCTTCAAATGGCTGCAATAACCAGGGCTAAGCCAGGCTGAACCCAGGAGCTAGAAACTCTGTCTTGGTCTCCCACGTGGATGACATGGTCCCAAGTGCTTGGGCCATCTGCTGCTGCCCTCCTAGGCACATTAGCAGGGAGTTGGAGGGAGGTGGAGCAGCCGGGACTCAACTGGCACTTCATATGGGGGGCCAGTGTCCAAGCAGTAGCTTAGTGAGTTGCACCGTGTGGCCCCTTACAGCCGACTTGCTATGCACCTGTTGTGCTGGGCATAGCCAGGAGGCAGGCCTTGGGGTCACTTCCAACCTCCACGGGGGCCCAGGGCGGTCCCTCGGCAGGGGTGGGAAGGTGGCGGGGGAGTGAGTGGTGTGGGTGGCGTGGTGGCTGATTCTCTGTCCCCCCCCAGGTCACCATTGGCATGTTTCTGCTCTCCGGAGACCCTGCTTCAAGACGTGAGTGAGTGTGCTGGGCTGCAGGAGTGGGGTGGGATCAGGGCCCTCCTTCCTCGGGCCCTGGGGCTCCCCTGTCGCCATCTGGCCCCGAGGTGGGGACGCCAGTCACACCCATGTGTCTTCCGAAGGCCACCGTCCACTGCCAAGTCCATCTCCATCCCGGGCCAGGACTCCTCCCTGCAGCTGACGTGTAAGGGTGGCGGGACCAGCAGTGGTGGCGGGCGCGCAGCAGCACCAACTCTCTGACAGGGTCCCGGCCCCACAAGGCCCGACCCACCATCCTTAGCTCAGGTACTGTTCCCGCCTGCCCACTTCCACTGCTTCGCTGTGCGCAGGGCCTGGGGAGAGCTTGCTGAGCAGGGGGCGGTGTGGGTTCTGTGTGCACCGGCCGATGCCGTGTGTGCGCTGTGCATGCCGGCTGCAGTGCCGGGCCCCAGGGTCCCAGCACCAACACTGAGGCAGCATCCCTGCCCCCAGGCCCCCGGGGAGACACAGGTGTTGGTCACAACACCAGTAAATCGTGTGCCTGTCCACCTGCAGATGTGCAAGGGCTGGGGGAGACGGCCACAAGGGGCAGAGTGTGTCTGGGGCCAGGAAGGCTTCCTGGAGGAGGGGGTGTCTGAAGTGTAGTCCGGCGTGATGTGCCCCCCACCCCGCCCCACCCCGGATGCCTGGGAGCTCTCACTTTCCCACTTGCCGTGTGACCTTGACCGGGCTCATGCCTCTCCAGGCCTGAGTTCTCCTCTGAGAGACGGGGTCAGTAGTAGAATCACATGCAGGGCAGCCTTGGGGCTCAGCTAAGTAACGTGTGGGCCTGCACGCGTGGGCACGTATTGCATCGCCATTAGGAATGCTGTGCAAAGAGGGAGGGAGCCAGGGTCCCAGAGGAGACCTGTGGGCGAGTCAGGCGGTGCCACCGGCGGGGGAGCCCTGGGCTGCCCTCAGGGTTGGTGGGACCCCCAGGCCGTATGTGGTGCTGGGTGGCGTGAAGCAGGGCCCCCAGAGCTGTGAGCTGTGGCCCACGCGCTGCTCCTCGAGGTGGGCTCAGAGCTGGTGAGCGAGCAGACCGCACGGGGGCCCTCGTGTGTGCGTGGGGGATGTGGGAGAGCGCAGGCCTCGGCGGCTCAGCCGGTGCCTGCGGTTGCTCGGTGGCTCTGCCCGCTCCGAGCGGCCTGGGGTCTGAGGGGCTCTGACACCCTAAGGCCCAGCTTCCCCAACTCCTGTCTTTGCCGCAGACCCGGAGCAAGACCTAGAGCAGACAGCGGGCGCAGGGCCCCTGGAGCAGAGCTGCTTCCCGGCCCAGCACTCTCCAGCTGCAGCGTGGGGGTCCCATGGGGAGACCCGGCCACCCAGCGCAGCTCTCTAGTGGGGGTCCTACGGGGAGACCCGGCCACCCAGCGCAGCTCTCTAGTGGGGGTCCCACGGGGAGACCCAGCCACCCAGCGCAGCTCTCTAGTGGGGGTCCCACAGGGGAGACCCAGCCTCCCAGCGCAGCTCTCTAGGGGTCTGGCTCCATGTGCAGAGGCCCTGTGTGGCTGTGGGTAGGCACAGCAGGCTCTGGGACACTCACTTCTGGAGAGGGAGGGTGTGTGCTTTGCTCCTGTGTCCAGGAGCCTGGGGCATGGGTGCTCAGCGGAGCCCTGACTGGGCCCTGCTGCTTCCCGGGGGTGCCAGGAACGTCTGCCTTGGAAGACACAGGCTGGCCGGCGCTGCGGCTCACTAGGCTAATCCTCCGCCTAGCGGCGCCGGCACACCGGGTTCTAGTCCGGTCGGGGCCGGATTCTGTCCCGGTTGCCCCTCTTCCAGGCCAGCCCTCTGCTGTGGCCAGGGAGTACAGTGGAGGATGGCCCAGGTGCTTGGGCCCTGCACCCATGGGAGACCAGGAAAAGCACCTGGCTCCTGGCTCCTGCCATTGGATCAGCGTGGTGCACTGGCCGCAGCGCACGGCCACGGCGGCCATTGGAGGGTGAACCAACGGCAAAAGGAAGACCTTTCTCTCTGTCTCTCTCCCTCTCACTGTCCACTCTGCCTGTCAAAAAAAAAAAAAAAAAAAGGAAGAACAGGCCACTCAGGACAGTCTCCGCCGCCCCCGCCCGACCCCGCTCCTGTTCACTTCGCTCTGGCCGCACCAAGCCGCGCTCCTTCCAGCCTCGGCTCTTTCCTGTCCTCTCCCTCGGTCTGGAAGGCCCTCTTTCTCCTGGCCTAGCCGGCTGCCTCCCTCCCACGCGTCCCGAAGGCTGGCACGGTGTGGCACTTGCCGGGTGTCCTTCCTCTCCGCTGGCCTGTGGGGCGCTGTCACAGCTGCAGGATGGGTGAACGGGGCCCCGAGGCCCGGGGAGGACAGCGTGAGGGGTGGCGGGGTGGCGGGCGCCACTGAGGAATCCCGCTCCTGCCTGCTGCCTCCCAGGGCTGCCGGAGGAGCCAGAGCAGAACCTGTCCAGCCCCGAGGAGGTGTTCCACTCTGGCCACTCCCGCAACTCCAGCTACGCCAGCCAGCAGTCCCGGATCTCTGGTGAGCAGCCGCCCCCTCCCGCCCCGGGGTCCCCGCGCCCTTGTGCCCCTCCCCCAGGCTGTCCATGACCTTGGCCCCAGGCTACAGCACGGAGCACTCGCGCTCCTCCAGCCTCTCGGACCTGACGCACCGCCGCAACACGTCCACCAGCAGCAGTGCCTCGGGCGGCCTCGGCATGACCGTGGAGGGCCCCGGGCAGCGAGCGGGAGCACCGGCCCTCCGAGAAGCCGCCGCGGCCCCCGCGGCCCCTGCACCTGTCAGACCGCTCGTTCCGGTGAGTCCTGTGCTCCCTGGCCCCGGACCCCTCCCTGGGGCTCTCCGAGCCCTCACCTGGCACCCGGGGCACGGTGGCTGGCATGGGCTGGGCACGGTGCTGCTGCTGCTGAGCGCTGAGTGCCTGGAGCAGCCCGCTGGCCTCACGGTACTGGGGATGCGCCGGGGGCACGCGCCGCGGGCTTGCCGCTCGGACCACCCTCGTCCCGCACGGGCCCGGTCCTGCTCTGACTGTGCTGCCCCTGCCCCTGCCCCTGCCCACCAGGCGGAAGAAGGACTCGGTGGAGAGCCACCCGACCTGGTGGATGACACGCGCATCGACGAGCTGACGACATCGTGGAGAAGATCGTGCAGAGCCAGGACTTCACCGACGGCAGCAACGCCGAGGGTGAGTGCTGCCCGGGCCGGCGCCGGGGGCTGGGCTGCCCGGGCCCCCGCTCAGCCCGCGTCCTCCTCTGTCCCCACAGACAGCAACCTCCGGCTGTTCGTGAGCCGGGACGGCTCCACCACGCTGAGTGGCGTCCAGCTGGCCAACAGGTGAGGGGTGCAGGCCGGGGGCGGGGGAAGGCCCTGCAGCCCCCAGCCGGCTCTGAACACCAGCTCTTGTCACCGCAGCCTCGCTGGGGCCAGTCACGTCTCGCTCAGCCTGTTTGCCCGTCTGTCGAGTGGTGTGGGCAACACCCACCTCCCCTGGGAACCCGGGACAAGGGCTTCAGGGCCGGGCATGGCGCTCCAGACTCCTGTGTCAGCTGGGAAAGCGCCTGGCTCTGCACTTGACAGCACCAGGGCTCACCAGCTGCTCATTTGGGCCCTCACTGTCCTTTCCCGGTGGTGGTGCTGGCTCATTGGTGACTGAGCACCGCCTGTGCTCCAGGCACCGGGGCGCGGGCCGGGCACAGCCATCAGCCACACGGTTTCTGCCCGCGGGACTCTCACAGCAGGGGCGTGTTAGGGTCAGGCTTTGGCTGGTATGCTACAGTTTGCAGCCTTCTCAAAAGGTTGGTGCGCAATGTCCCAGCTGCACCTGGCACACCACATCCTTGTCTCACGTGACCTGGGTACAGGGCTGTGCCGAAGGCTTTTCCCGCCTGCCTCTGGGCCGGGTTCAGATCGAAGTCCCAGCATCAGCGCTGGCTGGACAGCCTGGTGTGTTGCTCTGCTGACCCCTGCTGGCCGAGGCTCAAAACTGCAGCCACCAAGTCCTGGCTGGCCCCTTGGGCTGCCTCTGGTGGAGCGGGCAAGAAGAAAGAAGGGTCCCCCTTGGGAGTTTATAAATGCCCCGCCCTAGCTCCTGCTGAGAGTGAGGAGACCAGGGCTCACGACAGGGAAGAAAGCAGTCTGATCAGCCAGATCCGAGCCCCGGTGCCCGCACGCCCAGGGCAGGTGCTGCCGTGGGGGCTGCAGTGTTGGTAGCTCTCTGGCTGTCTGCTGCCCCCTTGGCAGACCTCAGGGGCCCCCACACACTGAACCTCGCCACCTGTCGCCCTGGGAAAGCGCGTCGACAGCTCTGAGCTCCTCTGTAAAGTGGCACCAGTGCCAGCTTTACCCGGGGCCTCCTGGGGCCTGGCCTGGGGGCCCAGGGGTCAGCTGACCTGTCCCCCCCACAGGGTCTCCTCCGGGGTCTACGAGCCAGTCGTGATCGAAAGCCATTGAGGAGCAGGTGTCCGGGCCGGAGAGGGGCCCTGGCTCCTGGGGGCTCCAGAGCCGCATCATTCCACGAGGAACCTCCCTGGACCTGCCGCCCGTGCACTCCAGCCCACACCTGCCCGCGCTGAAGTCATTCCATTGCCGCCCGCCCGCGCCGGGACCTCCTGCCCGCCAGGCCCCGGGCACACTGTGAATACGCTCCTGTGAACCACTAGAGGGCAGGACGGTGGGGCCACACTGCACGGGGGACACCGCCCAGGCTGGCTAGCTCCTACACAGTGGGGGTGCCTGTGTCCCCACGCACTCCAGGAGCGCCAGCCTTGGCCACGCCCTGGCAGGGCCTTGCTCCATTGCCCCTTGCCCTGGGGAGGCCAGTCCCCCCCGAGAACCCTGCACCTGTGACCCTCTGGCTGCTCGGCGCTTCTGTGTCCTGGGGGACCCGCTGGCGGCAGCCTCCTGAGAGCCGAGACCTCAGACCCCACCCACACTCTGGACTGAAGCCCCCGCCCCCCCCCCGAGTTCCTCCTGCTGCCCTAGCAGCCTGCACTTTGCACGTGCTTGCCCCCAGCACAGCCCCACTTCCTGTCCACGAGACTGGCCGCTGCCTGCCGCGCAGCCGGAGGCCCAGGGTCTGGCAGCCCGGCTGGAACTCGGCGCTGCCCCCCCCCCCCAGCTCAGGCCTCAGCCCCGTGCAGAGGAAGGGCCGAGCATCGTGGTGCCCTCTGCTCAGGGCTGGGTCCTGAGCGGCTGGTTTCCCTGCAGGAAGGTCAGGGGCCTGGCTGCGTGGGGGCAAAGCCCCCCTTCCTCTGCCCTCAGGTCAGCTGGCCCGGGCTGGGCCCGCTGCTGGGGACGTGGCGGTGGGGGCCTGTGACTGGACCGGCCCGGAGCTGGCTTCCTGGCCGAAGAACCCTCTGTCCCCTCTCGGGAAGCATGTGCCACTCGCGGGCAGCCGGGGGACGGGGCAGTCCGGCCCTGCACCCCGCCCCCGCCCCTGGAAAGCCTCAGCGCTCAGCACTTTGCCCCTGGCCCCGTGACTTGCTTGAAGGCGGGCTGTTGCTGCAGCCAGGCCCCGGCAGACGCCCTGCCCCTCTGAGAGTTCACTCATGTTGTAGAAACCCAGCGGGCTGGTGTTCACTTCACCTGTAGCTGTTTTTCTCCCCGTCCGCCCACCCTCCTGTTCTTGGTTTTGAGTTCCCAGTTCCTTTCCTGTTTCCTCTTCCCCCAGGTGAGGGAGGAGCTTCTATCCCCTGCCCACCTGCGGGCTGGGTCCCAGCAGGGCTGGGGCCTGGCCCGGGCTGGAAGGGGTGCTGGCGCGCTCCCCGGGCTGGGAGGGTGCCTCGCCCAGCTCTTCTGCCGGCCGGGAGACTCGGTTCTCGGTCTGGCGCCCCCTGGCCTTGGGACCAGAGCCTGTCTGGGGCTTTTGTTCCTGTTCTTGTTTTAATCACCTAACTCTGGTAGAAACTGAATGTTAGAAGGTGCCTGCCGGGACACGCCGGGCCGTTCGCACTCTGGTCAGGGTGGAGAGGCCCTTCCTGCCCCGAACCTACCTGGCACTTTAGCAGGAAGCTGGCCGCACTGCCCCCGGGCAATGGGGGAGCCCTGCCCTTGCTGGGGTCAGTCCGGTGAGGGGGTTCTGATGCAGAGCCCCGGGCCGCGGCCACAGAGACTCCTGCTGTCAGGAACCCCTGTCCCACCCAGCTGCCCCAGAAGGAGGCAGAGCCTGCACAGCCTCCCACGCCCGGCCCTGGGCTGGGGTCACTGGACTCAGAATTTGGCCACAACCAAATCTATGCTGGGGCCAGAGAGGCCAGGAGCCCTGGCCCCGCCCCCCGGGGAGCCCTGCCCGTAGCTCCTCGTCCCCTCAGGCTCAGTGACCTCCCACCAGGCGCCCGGCTCCTGGACTTCGGATTCTAGAGACAGAGAGAGTATATTAGAGCTATTTTTGGAAAGCAAGTGGTCTATGCAATGTCGGTTTAGAATCTTGGAAGTTTTAACGTTTTTACTAGGAGAGCTACAGGAAAATAAAGGTCTGCGATATTTTTAGGTGTTTTCTTTTCCGTCCAGTCCCCCACAGACTGACCGCCCGGGCGCAGAGCGTCCCTGCTCCTCATCTCTGGGTGCCATCGCGGGGTGCGGGAGGGAGTGCGGATCCCCCTCCTCTCTAACAATGCCGCTGCCACCACGCCCAGCTCCGTGGGCTGTGTTCTGTCCCTGTCCCAGCTTCTAGCGTAGAAGGTAACATTGTACAGGGAAATCAGCCTAAGAAATCAGCCTAGCATCGGGTGTCTCTGTTTTAGGGGAGAAAATATTAAATGTTGCAGTTTTTGTTTTTGCTGTTTTGTTTTGTACCTTGTGACTTCGCCACCTGACAACATTGCAAAGGAAGCCAGCTGTGTGAGGCGACCCTCAGGGGCCGGGGACATGTTGACATGTTAGCTGCAGCTTCGGGGGGGGGGGCAGCCCCGAGGGTCGTTACCTGCTGGTCTCACACCCGGTGAGCTCGGGAAGCTGTGGCTGGGTGCCCACGGCCAGGCAGCCTCTGAGTGGCCCTGTGGATCCAACAAGAGCGTGGGTTAGGGAGGCCTGAGCTGGGCCCCTAGACGGGGCGGGAAGCTGTGGTGGGGATGGCCGAGCCCCCCCCCCCCCGGGGGGGAGCGGGCTGTCAGATGGGGGAAGGAATTGGGCATGGGTGGAGAAGGGGTGCTCGTGACAGCTTTGGGAGGGCGACCCCCAGGTCAGAGGTTGGCTCACAGGCCGCAAGGAGATCAGTGTGGTGGGGGGAGGCAGATCCTGCCAGGCCCAGGCCCTGCCCTGCCTCCCCAGGTGCCCCTGCAGGGAGGCCTGGAGCCCCCAGATGCCCAAGCCTAGCATCCGGGACCTCGTGCGCGTGCGCACACACACAGCCCGCTGGGTCGCAGGCTGCTTGTTAAAGCAAGCCCCACTCAGGGCGCTGGGGGTACAGCAGTGACCATGTTACCAGTGAATGGCAGGGTTCTTCACGCAAGAAAGAATTCAGGTGTGAGGCAGTAGTGGAAAGTAGAAGTAGCAAAGTTTATGAGGGTAGGGACAACCGCAAGAACGGATGGGCACCTCTCCAGACAGGACCTGGGGGAGAGAGCCGTCGCTCGGCAGGGGAAAGCGAGGTTACATGGTTGAGTGAGAGATGACACCTGGCCAGGCAGGTGGGCGACTCAGCATAGAGGCAGAGGGCTGAGCCGCCGTCCGCTGACTGGTGGAGGCCAGGGTGTTAAGGAGATGGGCCTTTGTCTTCACACATCTCCCGAAACAAAGGATTTTATGGATGTGAATATTAAAAGCTCCTATCTGAGTTTTCCCTTGAAGGTATCAGACAGGAGGAGGGTTCAGAGGAAGGGTGAGCAGGACCCCCTAGAGAATGGGGATCCGGAGCAGGGTGTTTGAGATGCAGATACTGGGCTGCACCTGGAAGGTTATCAGGCAGAAGGGGCGGGGACCCCCACCTGGCAGGTTATCGGGTAGGAGGGGGCAGGGCAGGATGCGAACACTGGGCTTTGGGATGACTGAGATGCAGATGCGTATGCTGGACATAGACGTCTTCTCTTTAGGCCTTTATGTCACACACACACATAAGCTCATATCTGACTTCCTACCTAACAACCACAGACCCTACACTCCGGGAGGTTGCAGTGGGTGGGCCGTGTAACAACCACAGACCCTACACTCCAGGAGGTCGCAGTGGGTGGGCCGCATGGACGAGTAAATCGGCCAATTAAAGCCCACTGTACAGTGTCCTGGTGGAGACACGGAGGAGGGGACTCGCCCCCAGCTGCGAGGGTGTCCCTAGGGTAGGACACCCCGTGAGACCAGGTGGGTGAGGAGCGGCGCCAAAGACGAGGGCGCCCCAACTCCCCTTGTCCTTAGAGGGAAGGGCTTCCAAGATTGGGGGGCTGCCCACAGGGACGCCCGGGGCCCAGAGGCAGCCCGTGAGGAGGCAGGGGACACTGCGACGGCCGCCAGAGACGCCCTTTCCGCCCCATTCTCACCCCCTCCACAACAGACAGCCTGGGGCCTCGCTCACCTCCGAGGCTGTGTGTGATCTAAGCCTTCAGCCTCGACTCCCTTTTCTGAAAAATGCCACTTCCAACCCACCCGCGTCCCGCTCTGGCCTGGGGACCCTGGACTGTTTGGAGATGAGCTTTCGCGGGGGTTGGGGGGAGGTAGGTCCAGCAGGGCTGTGGCCTCGGGAGACAGGCGGTCTGGCAATCTGGGTTCCCAACTCCGTCCCGTTCCCCAGAGTCAGGGATGAATTCCACCCACTATGCCTTTGGAAAACTACACTTCCCGGCATGCAAAGGGAGGCAGTGGGCTTGGGGACTACGACTCCCAGCATGCCCCGCGGCCAAAGCCGGGCGAGCCCGGACCCGGAACCGGATGTGCCTTGCTGCTCCGGTGGCGGAGCGCTGGGGCCATGGTGAGACTGGGACCTGGTGCCGGGGAGTGCAGGGCGTCCGGGGTGCGGTCCCGCGTCTGCTTGGGAGCTGGAGCTCGGGCATTCGGAACGCGTATTGCTCTTCCGACGGCACACGTAGGGCAGGAGACGCCGGGGCCGGGCGCTCGCTCCCAGCTAGGAATGCCCCGGTCAGACCCGCGGACAGCCGTGGGCTGGGCAGTGCAGCGCGCGAACAGTCCTCCCTTTCCTCCAGGCCACGGGGACAGACCAGGTGGTTGGACTCGGCCTCGTCGCCATTAGCCTGATCGTCTTCACCTACTACACCGCCTGGGTGATTCTCCTGGTAGGTCCGCCTCCCCGCCCTCGGCGTCCGCCATCCTTGGGTCGGGGGCCCGGCGCTGCGCGTGGTGCTGCGTTGTGTCGATGGGAAAGTGTGGCTCGGAGACACGCGTGGCCTCAGTTTGCTTTTTTTAATTTTGAGTTTTACTTACGTGAAAAGCAGAGACAGACTGCAGGATTTTGCATCCTCCGGTTCACTCCCCCAAATGGCCGCAGCGGCTGGGGCTGGCCGGTGTGAAGCCAGGAGCCAGAACTCCATTCGGGTCGCCTGCACCCCAGTTCCTAGGCCGTCATCCGCTGCCGCCCAGGGCGTGCGTTAGCAGGAAGCGGATGGAGAGCGAGAGTGACTGCAGCGGGTGCCAGGGTCCCTAAGCCACGGCGCCACAGCGCCACAGCTTTCTGGTCTTTTGAAGACTTTATTGTTTGAAAGGCAGAGAGCGAGCGAGAGATCCTCCATCCGCTGGGCGACTCCCCAGATTCTCTCAATAGGCCAGGCTGGGCCAGGTCCGGGCCGTGAACCAGGGACTCCATCTGAGTTGCCCATGTGGTGGCAGGACCCAGATGCCCGGGCCATCATCTGAGCCTCCCGGCCGCATTAACCAATCAGGAGAGTTGGCGGCCTGGGACCAGGATGCAGGGGTGGGTAGCAGCGGCTTGCCCTCCTCCCTCCCGGCCGCTGATACCTGTTAGCTTTGCCCCTGAGGAAGTCCCGGTCCTTCCGCTAGCCTGCTGGCCCCTGGGCTTGGGGAGCCCCGTGGGCTTTTTCAGTTTCTCATGGAGATTTGGTGGCTCCTGCTTGGGAGGTGCAGGAGCCCAGCTTGGGAACGGCCCCCTGCTAGGCTGTGAGTGCCTTAGGGCAGGTCCCCAGCCCCCATCTCGGGCGGCCGGCACCAAGTGCGGGCCCAGCAAACACCCATCAGACAAGGACGGCCAGGCACCAGAGCGCCGCCGTCAGGAAGCCAAGAAGCACCCCAGTGCTCTGGGCGGGGGAGAGGGGACGGTGTTGGGGCCCGGGGAGCGGTGCTCAGCAGAGCTCTGCCTCGGCGCCAGCCGTTCATCGACAGCCAGCATGTCATCCACAAGTACTTCCTGCCGCGAGCCTACGCCGTCGCCATCCCGCTGGTCGCGGGCCTCCTGCTGCTCCTGTGTGTGGGTGAGTGGTCGCCAGCCCTGCGCGTCTGAGCACGCCTCCACGCGGGACTCCTCCACCCTCAGGACCGCGTGCCGGTGCCGTGGTGCCGGCGGCCCCCTTTCCCTGCCCGCACCCCCGTCATCCCTGCGCTCACGCCTCGGCCCTCCCTCGGCCTCCTGCAAGCCTGCCTCAGAATTCTGGCACCTCTCATCTCTCGTGGCTCCCTGAGGGCTTCCCGGGGGAGGGGGCTGTGTCCTGACGCCAGCACGGCCGCGGCTGAATAGGGGCTCCAGAGGGTGGTTAGGATGGTGACTGGGTGGGCAGGTGGCTGACGGGCGAGTGGCCGCTGCATGGGTGGTGCTTTTTGAATGAGCATGCGCGCGTGCGTGTGTGCGTGCGTGGTGGAGGACTGATGGAGACAGCAGGCGGCCTGGAGGGTGGTGGGTGGGTGCCGGCCCTGGGTGTGGGTTGTCCCGCCCTGCAGCCCTGAGCCCTTGTCTTCCTGGCCCTGCCGACTGTGTGTTCCAGGACTGTTCATCACCTACGTGATGCTCAAGAACCAGAGGGCGGCCAAGAAGGCGCAGTGAGGACCCAGTGAGGAGAGGCCCGGGCAGGGCCGAGTGGCCGCCCTGCGCACCTCCCTGTGGGGCGGAGCTGTCCAGCACCCACTCCTGAGCGACAGGACCCAGCCCCGCCCGCCCTGCCGGAAGCCAGCGGCGGGAAGGGACCTGGAACGCGGCCCTGTCCTCCGTCTCGCGGCCTGACAACTGCCGCCCCCGCCCCCCCCGGGTTCTGCCCGCAGCCTCAATGTCCCCTCCTGTCACACACCAGCGTTGACTTGGCGGTTCTGGGGCAGGCGACCCCTCCGCGACGCAGCCCAGACCCCACGAGGACGTCTGGACTTGGAAAGCCCTGGGGGAGGATGGACGGACCTCTGGGCCACCCCAGGCCCCCAGCCTCAGCCCCTGGCTGGCCACTGGGAGACTCTAACAATAACACCGATCAGGCGCCGGGTCTGTGCTGTCCTTGGCCAGGGAGCTGGCCAGAAGGGCTGGGCTTGGCGTTGGCCCCGGCCTTGGTCTCTGGTCGGGAGACCCTGGTTTGGGCAGTCTGCCTCTTGGCCGCACCTGTACTGGGAATGGATGAGGTTGAACCCAGAGTGCCCACAGCTGAGGAGTCACCCTGGCCAGGAGGGACTGGTCCCTTAGGGGCCCTTAGAAGCCCCAGCCTGTCTCCCATCTCACACCCAGCGTCCCAGTTAGCACGGCCCTGGAAAGCAAGGGCCGCCCCCAGTGTTTGGTTGACAGGGCCAGGCTGGGTGGTGAGTCCCCTGTGCCCGGGCGGCAGCCCTGTCCTTGGCACCGTGCTGAGCTGACCCTCCATCACGAAGCCCTGCACGTGGTCCCCCGTCACACGCGAGAGGCTGGCT